AAGAATGATGACTCAATGCGTTTCTGCATAGATTATAGACAACTCAACAATGTAACCATAAAGAACAAGTATCCTCTCCCTAGAATCGATGATTTGTTTGATCAGTTAAAGGGAGCTTCGGTATTCTCGAAGATTGATTTGTGTTATGGTTATCATTAATTGAAGATTTAGGAAAAAATATTCCAAAATGGCTTTTAGAACGAGATATGGTCATTACGAGTTTATTGTTATGCTGTTTGGGGTAACGAATGTACCGACTGCTTTTATGGAACTTCTGAACAGAATGTTTCAACCTTATTTGGACCAGTTTGTAGTTGTTTTCATTGATGATATATTGTTGTATTCGAAGTCTAATGAAGAGCATAGTACACATCTGAGGATAGTCTTGCAAATTTTACGAGATAAGAAGTTATATGCCAAACTATCTAAATACGAGTTTTGGTTAAATGAAGTGGCATTTCTAGGACATGTGATTTCTGTAGAGGGAATTCGGGTTGATCCTCAAAAGATAAAAACTATTTTAGAATAGGAAGTTCCAAATAATGTATATGAAGCTCGGAGTTTCCTGGGGCTTGTAGGTTATTATCGAAGGTTCGTTAAGAACTTTTCTATGATATCTTTTCCTTTGACCAAGTTGATGAGGAAAAATGTAACGTTTGTTTGGAATCTTGAATGTCAAGCGAGTTTTGAGGCATTAAAGAGAATTTTGACAGAAGCTCTAGTGTTAGTCCAACCCGAATTGGATAAGAACTATGTGGTTTACAGTGACGTATCCCATAATGGCTTGGGATGTGTATTGATACAAGAAGGGAAAGTGGTAGTATATGCGTCTAGATAATTAAAACCACATAAGAAGAACTATCCAACACATGATTTGGAATTAGCCGCAGTAGTGTTAGCTCTCAAGATCTGGCATCACTACTTATATGGGGAACATTGCTATCTTTATATGAATCATAAGAGCTTGAAGTATCTGATGACTCAAAAAGAATTAAATTTGAGACATAAAAGATGGGTTGAATTCATAAAGGACTATGATATAATAATTGATTTTCATCCTGGAAAAGCAAATGTGATAACTGATGCCTTAAGTCGAAAGATGTTTGCATCCTTACGAGTTTTGGATGCAAGGTTGTCATTGGATATAGATGGTACATTATGTGTAGAATTGAAGCTTAGGTCAACCTTGTTGGATAGAATTAAAGAATTGCAGAATAAAGATGAAAAGTGTTTGAGAATATTAGAGAAATTAAAGAATGAAGAAAATAAAGATTTTGAGGTTAAGTCTGATGGGAATCTGTGCTATGGAGGAAGACTGGTGATTCCAAATGATGAAGAATTAAAGAATGAGTTGTTGATAAAAGTTCATTGTAGTCCGTTGACACTCCACCTGGGTGGAAACAATATGTATATGGATCTCAAGAGTCGATATTGATGGTCAAGAATAAAAATAAGTATTACAGAATTTGTGTCTAAGTGTTTAACTTGTCAATATGTCAAAGCTGAGCATCAGGTCCCGTCAGGATTATTGCAACCAATACCCATTCCTCGATGGAAATGGGAGAATGTGGCGATGGACTTTGTGATGGGGTTACCCTTGACTCCGAATAAAAGAGATTCGATTTGGGTAATAGTTGATCGATTGAGTAAGTCAACGTATTTCATCCCAGTACGAGCTGATTTCTCCATGGATAAGTATGCTGAACTGTACATGAAGGAAATTATTCAACTACATGGTGTGCCTGTTTCGATTGTTTCTGACCGAGATCCTCGATTTTCATCCCGATTTTGGAAGACTTTACATGGAACATTAGGGACTCGACTGAACTTTAGCACATCATTTCATCCTCAGACGGATGGACAACCCGAGCGAACTATCCAAATTCTGGAAGACATGTTAAGAGCTTGTGTAATAGAGTTCAAAGGATCTTGGGAGAAGAATTTTCCACTTGCAGAATTTGCTTACAACAATAGCTACCAGTCAAGCATCAAGATGGCTCCCTATGAGGGTTTATATGGGAGAAAGTGCCGTATGCCCTTGAATTGGTACGAGCTTAAGGATCGAGAGGTTCTTGGTTTTGATTTGATTAAAGAAATGAAAGAGAAAGTTCAAGTAATTCAGAACAATATTAAAGCGACAGCCGATAAACATAAATCGTATGCTGATCTTAAGAGAAAAGAGATTGAATTTCAAGTTGGAGATAAAGTATTCCTGAAATTGTCTCATTGGAAGAAAGTACTAAGGTTTGGATGAAAAAGAAAACTTAGTACTCAGTTTATTGGGCTATATGAGATCTTTAAAAGAGTAGAACCAATGTCATATCAGTTAGCTTTGCCACCGGAAATGGAGAAGATTCATGATGTTTTCCATGTTTCCATGCTTCAGAGATATAGGTCCGATCCTTCCTATATTGTTACACCAAAAGAGATAGAAGTTCAGCCTGACTTGACCTACATGGAAGAACCGGTGCAAATATTGGCATATGAGGTGAAACAGTTCCGAAAAAAGAATATTCCATTGGTCAAGGTTTTATGGAGGAATCACAAAGTAGAGGAAACAACGTGGGAACATAAAGAGGATATGCAGAATCAGTACCCCTATCTCTTTTTACAGTGAAAATTAAAGGACGAATTTTCTTTGAGGGGAAGATTTGTAACATCCTAAACACTGGGTTATTAGTAACCAAATTGTAAAATTTTAGAATTTAGTGACCAAATTAGATAAATTGAAAAGTTTAAGGGCTTAAGTGTAATATTTTTGTGTAGGACCAAGTAGCAAAGAAGGATGAATAGAAGGGAAAAATGGTCATTTGGCAAGTAAATGAATTAAAATTTTGTTATGGTTATATTATAACAACGTGGAGACAATTGTGGAAGGTAAAAACCAAATATCTAGAACTATCTTCATTCTTCTTCCTCCTTTAGCCGTAAACCCCATTTGGAAAAGATTAGTTTCATGTTAATTGATTATTTATTAAATTTAAGCTTGGTTTTTGTTCTTTAGGTAATACTTAAGCTTGAGGAAAGTTTAAGATTTCTTAAAATCAAAAGATGGGAGAGTTAGGAAGGATTTAATATAAGAGGTGTTCAAGTGAAATTTGGAAAGGAGTTAGTAAGTGAAGTTTGAGACTAAATTTGACTAGTCAACAGTTAGAATAAGAAGTATAAAGTGTTAGAAATGAAATTAGAACATGTTGGAAATTAAGTAAGATTCTTGGTTACAAGATTTATGATGAGATATTGAAGATCATGATATGTTATATAAATATAGGATGGTTTGAGTAAGTTTAGTGGCATAAAAGGAGTTCAAAATGGAAAATATAAGTAGGTATTGGTGGATTTTCGAGTTAAATGAGTGAATTTTGGGCAAGGAATATCGATACTAATTCATCTAGTACCGATACTTCAAAGAGAAATGAATGATAATTGGGGTAAGTGTATCGATACTGTATGAACAATATCGATACCATAAGTTAAAAGTGGATAAGTAATTCAAGGAGCATCGATACTAAGGGGTCGTATCGATACCAAGGGTACCAATACTATTAGACAAGCATCGATACCATTTTAGAAATAGAATTCCATAACCGGGAAAGGGTATCGATACCAAAGAACATTATTGATACGACAGTAAAGGAAGTATCGATACCATACCTTGGGTACCGATACTACTCAAAGTGGAAATTTCAATTAAGTTCTTCTTATAGCTTAGGTTATTGAGGATCAATTTATAATGTTTAGAATTCTAATATTCGTATCAAATGTACATTTTTGTAGATATCGAACATAAGCAAGTATCGGAACAGTCGAAGAGTTAAGATCGATCCAGATAGAGAAAACAATTTATAGGAGTTGATTGGACTAAGTGAGGCTAATGTGAGTGCATATTATAGTATAGATGTTGTTTTATGGAAATAAAACTTGTGATAAGTTTATTTCCTATGTTTGATTTCATGGTTCCATGGTTATGAACATGTAGATGTTATGATTATTATGAGTACATGTATAAGTGACATATGTATATATGTTATGTTTTATGTTATATGATCCACGTGAACATAAGAGAACAACACATAAGCTATATGATATGATATAAGTGATTATATGCACATATGATACATGTGATGAGATAGGACATATGTGATTATATAAAAAATGATATGAGTTATAAGAGTACATGTATATATGTGATGATTGGTTGACTATGTGAATATGTGAAACATATAAGTGATAAAACCCATGTTATGTGATATGAGAGATGTGGGTATAATTGGCATGCAATGAGTCGAGGGTTCTACGAGGTCCTTTGGGACATATATGAGGTCTTTCAGGACAATTTTATATGGCACTCAGTGAAAATTTATACGAGCTATGGTGACATCATTTGTGCACAACCTCAAGGTACTCACATACCTTAAGTTTTCTGTAATCTACATGGGCACATAAAAGATATAAAATAATTAACTTTCTTATAAGATGACATGTTATTATTTGTTTAATGCATGGTCATATATGTTATGGTTGAGTAGATATAGGATGACTGTGATTGCATATTCATGATTTAAGTATTGCATTATTGTATTATATGCCTCACTAAGTCTGTGACTTAGCGTGTGAGTATTTCACACGTAGGTTCAAAGAATCAAGGGGATCCCAGTTAGGACAAACGACAAGACAGTATACATCGACTGAAGATCATATCAGAATTAATTTAAGCAATCGGTACTTATTTTATATGTTATTTTGTTGGTATGTAACTAAAAAGCTTAAATTAAGTATACTCTGATCGATTTGTAAATCTCTTTTTGACTGTATTCATGTAAAGAAATAACTTTTATTTTAATGGAAGTTTGAATTTTCTACGATTTTGTAAGAGTAAATATTTTGGAAAAGTCAATGTGACACCTCATATTTGTATCCGGGTCGGTTACGGGTTGTGGTGTTACATTCCAACTGCGTGCGTCGAAGGCTTCTTCTCACTTCCCCTTTGATGTTATTTTCCATTTGATATTGGGTTGTTGGAACGAATAAATTTCATGTTTTGTTTCATAGATGATTCAAACCCGACCATGAATTAACTTTATTTGGTGGGCATGATTTTATGGATGTTTGATATTATTTTAATGGTATATTTACATTTATCATTTATCATTTGCATTTACTTGTTTTGCTTATGAATACTTAATCGTCTAAGTTTTAAGAGGCATGAGAGTGTCCATTACTTAGATGAAGCCTAGATGTTCGAGTGAAACTTAGCTATTAATACTTGTAGTATTTGAGAGAAAGAAAAGTAAGATCTGCATAAGCAATGGGGTGTAGTATTTTCTTAAGCTTTGAACTGGCATAGTAATACTATATCCTAATCCCTTAGTGCTTGACAGAGACTAAGATAGGATTTCAATGACTAAGAGGGGCAGTTTTTATCAATACTGTAGGCTGCCATAGTTGAGACATAGAGGAGATGTTGTGGCATTCTATTATATTAGGTTAATTTGACTAGAAATAGCGGGAGCATTTTTCAGCAAACCCTGTTGAGCAAGTGAATTTTAGATAAATTAAATCTTCTTAAAAGACAAGTTTTAGCATCTTTAAATCAATCCCTACCATTCATTCCCGTTTAAGCTTGTTGTGTGAGGATTATCAAACTATCATCTATTTGTTTTTTTACTATTTTTCATTGCCGTGACATTTCTATTATTTTCAACATTACAATCTGCGCTTACTGCTACATTTCCTTTTGTTACCCCATTAGACTATCAATCCGTATCCACCAACAAACACTTTCCATTGCCGTGACATTCTCCATTAGTATATATTATCACTAACTATACTTAGACAGAGTAGTGCTTTGTTTTGGTTAAACTTTGTAATATCCACCAATCCCTGTGGAGACAATACTCACTCATCACTTTATTACTTGAGAGATTATGTATACTTGCACATTATTTGAGTATAATTTTATAGTACTCACAACACATAACAAGTTTTTGCAGCCGTTACCGGGGATTGGCAGCGTAAAGTTAATTAGTTTTTACTGTAGCATTTTTTTTTGCATATTTTTTTCTAGTTTACTTGATATTTTTTCTTTATGCTTTTTTAAGTTTATTTAGTATATGCCTAGAAGACTTTCTGAAGAGCCATTGGAACCGATAGAACCTGAGATTGAAAGACTCTTTTGAAAAATGAGACATGCTCAACGTGCTCGAGGAAATATGTGTCAAATTGTAAATCAGGGCATTGGTCAAGATGAGAGAATTCAGAATGTCGAGGTATTACAAAATGTTGGACCTACTGATAGGCATCGTGTTATTCGTGATCATTTAAATCTGATGCTAGATGATTTGAATCCTGGAATTGTGGCGCCCGAAATTCAAGCTGCACATTTTGAGTTTAAAACATTTATGTTTAATATGTTGAATTCTATAGGGAAGTTTGGGGGTATGCCAACTGAAGATGCCAGACATCATATTCGTATTTTTTTAGAGGTATGTGATTCTTTCCGCTAAGGAGTGCACGAGGATATACTGAAATTAAATTTGTTTTCATAATCTTTGCGTGACCGAGCAAGGGATTGGTTGAGTAGTGTTCCATCCGGTTCGATGGAATCATGGGCCGATCTTTGTAAGAGTTTCTTATTGTGATATAACCCACCGAACATGAATACTCAGCTAAGGAATGATATAACATCCTTTTACTAGGACGACGATGAATCTATGTATGATTGTTGGGATCGTTACAAAAGCTTGCTTCTAAATTGTTCAAATCATGGCTTTCATTTTTGGACTCAAGTAGTTATGTTTTATAATGGAGTCAATGTACCCACGAGGATGATGCTAGATGCCTCGACAAATGGGACATTGTTGGATAAATCACCTACTGAGGCGTTTGCTATTTTAGATAGAATTGCTAATAATGAGTATCAATTTCCTTCCTCAAGGATTGGGAGTAGGAGAAAAGCACCTGTAACATTTGAGTTAGATACCAAGGACTCGATGTCCGCTCAACTCTCAGCTATTACTAATATGCTAAAAAATTTACAACGTTCCACTGATGTGAAGGAAGTGAAGCAACTAGATTGGCATGTCTATTATGACAAAGCAGTCATCACAAGAGTGAATACCCAACCAACCATGAGTCCATCAACTTTGTAGGTAATTTTAATCGAGACAATAATAATCCTTATTCTAACACTTATAATGCAGGATGGCGTCAGCATCCTAATTTCTCATGGGGAAAACAAGAAGCCCACAGTGTTAGTCAATCCACTCGGCAGCAGAATAACAATGAATCTCAAGGCTACCAAAATACTATGCCATGGACTAATACTAACAAAGGAGCTTCATCTTCAGCGAGCATTAGTTTATTGGAAGCTACAATTCAAGATTTCATATCTACCACGAAGACAATGCTGCAAGACCATTCTACTTCAATTAAAAATCAAAGAGCTTTACTTCATAGTCAAGGCGTCTTACTTCAACGCTACCCCCACTACCGAAAAGTATGAAGCTGAATTACATGATGATATTATTTCTGAGAAAGACAATGAGGAGGGTCTTATTAGTGAGCCTGCCAAGGCATAAAATTCTAATGCCAAGGCAAAAGCAATTCATACTCCTGCAGTTAAGGAAGATAGACCACCACTACCCTTCCCACAAAAATTGAAGAAGCATAATAATGAAGTTCAGTTCAAGAAGTTTGTGAACATTCTTGATCAGCTCCATATTAACGTAGCTCTCTTGGAAGCTATTGAACAGATGCTGACGTATGCCAAATTTCTTAAGGAAATTTGTACCAAGAAGAGGAAAGTAGAGATGTATGAGACAGTTGCCACGGCAACAGAATTTTTTTCTTCATTGAGTAATTGCCACCAAAGCAAAAAAATCCGGATAGCTTCATTATTCCCTGTTCGATAGGAGCTAATTTCGTTGGAAAGACATTATGTGATATTGGTTCAAGTGTAAACTTAATACTGAAATCTATATTCTTGAAGCTTGGCATAGGAGATGTAAGACCCAAATCGATTATTTTACAACTTGTCGCAGATCCCATGTTAAACATGAAGGGAGAGTTAGGGATGTCATTATAAGGGTGGATAAATTTGTATTTCCAGTCGACTTCCTAATTCTGGATTGCGAAGTTGATACCAAGGCACCCATCATTCTGGGTAGACTTTTCCTAGCCACTGGTTGTATTTTGATAGATTGTGAAAAAGGTGAAATCACCATGAGAGTGGCTGATCAGAGTGTGACTGTTAATGTGTTTTGTACTCTCAAGTATGTTGATGACACTAAAGAATGCCAAGGCATGTCAGAATTAAACTCAGTAATTGAAGAAGAAACTGAACAGCTTTGCCATAATAATTTTACTCAGTTAGCAGATAAGGAACATTGAATGGATGATGAAAGCTTAGTGGAGTACATCAACTTCTCAATTTTGGAGGAGCAATCTAGCTTACTACTAGCTAAATCAGGTATGAATTTTGAACCTTTGAATTTTTATGAATTTATTCCTCCTAAGCCCTCATTATTGCATGCACATACCCTAGAGCTAAAGACCTTGTCAGGGCCTCTTAAATATGTTTACTTGGGTAGCGAAAAAACTTTACCAGTGATTATTTCGCTAACCTTACTGCTAACCAAGAGTAAAGTTTGTTAAGTGTTTTTATGCAGCATAAGAAAACACTTGGTTGGACTATGGCTGACTTGAAAGGAATTAGTCCCACGATTTACATGAATAAGATTCTACAAGAGGAATGTCATGGTAACTCTATAGAACCATAAATAAAACTCAACCCTATTATAAAGAATGTGGTAATGAACGAAATTTTGAAATGGCTTGATGATGAAATGATTTACCTTATATCAAATAGCTCTTGGTGAACCCTGTACAATGTGTGTCAAAGAAAGGACGCACGAATGTGATTACCAATGAGGATAATGAGCTATTACCCACTCACACTGTTACTGGATGGAAGATATGTATGGATTATCGTAAACTCAACAAAGCTACAAAAAAAGGACCATTTTCTTCTACCTTTCATAGACCAAATGTTGGATCGATTGGAAGGAAAAGTATTCTATTATTTTTTAGATGGGTACTCAGACTACAATCAAATTGACATCGCACTAGAGGACCAGGAGAAGACTATATTTACTTGTCCCTATGGCACTTTTGCCTTTAGGAGGAGACCTTTTGGACTCTGTAATGCCCCAACAACATTTTTGTGTTGCATGCAAGCTATATTTTCAAACATAGTTGAGAATTTCCTTGAGATATTCATGGACAACTTTTCTGTTTTTGGAGACGATTTTGAGTGATGCCTCAGCAATTTGGTAAAAGTTCTTAAAAGATGCAAGGAAGCTGAATTGGTTTTGAATTGGGAAAAATGTCACTTCATGGTGACTGAAGGCATTTTTTAGGCCATAAAATATCTCACAAAGGCATTGAAGTAGATAAAGCGAAAGTTTAAGTAATTGAAAAATTGCCACCACCAACTTTGGTCAAGGGTATAAAGAATTTTCTTGGACATGTTGGATTTTATAGAAGATTTATCAATGACTTCTCCAAGATTTCTAAGCCCTTGTGCACATTGCTTCAACAAAACCAGCCCTTTGTCTTTAATGAGTTATGACTAGGCGCATTCACTGAGCTGAAACAACGATTGATCTCAGCACTTATTGTCGTCCCTCCTGATTGTACATGACCATTCGAGATGATGTGTGATGCAAGCGATTATGTCGTAGGAGTTGTTTTAGGGCAATGCCGAGGTAAACTCTTTCATGTTATATATTACTTTAGCCGTACGTTGAATGAAGCACAATTGTACTACACTACCACTGAGAAATAATTTGCTTTTGATAAATTTAGACCATACCTAATAGGCACTAAAGTTATTGTTCACGCTGATCATTCAGCTATAAAATACTTTGTGAATAAAAATGACGCAAAGCCTAGACTTATTAGGTGGATCTTACTCTTGCAAGAATTCGACTTAGAGGTTGTAGATTGAAAATGTATTGAGAACCAAGTTGCTGATCATTTATCTAGGCTAGAGAACAATTCTGAATGCATGACACTATAGATATTCAAGAGGAATTTCCTGATGAGAAAATTTTATATGCCACGACAATCTCGTGGTACGTTGATCTTGTTAATTTTCTTTTTAGTGGAATACTGCCTTTTGATTTGAATAGCTAAGGTAAAAAGAAATTCAATCACGATGCAAGGTATTATTTTTGGGACGAGCCATATTTGTTTAAGCATTGTGCTGATCAGTTCATTAAATGATGTATACATGATGAAGAACAACGCGACATTTTATACCATTGTCAATCGGCCCCAAACAGAGGCCATTTTGGAGGAGCAAGGATCGCTACTAAGGTCCTGCAATCAGGCTTTTACTGGGAAAATCTGTTTAGAGATGCTAATACATTTTACAAATCTTGTGATCGATGCCAACAAACTGGAAATATATACAGGCGTCACAAAATGCCATTGCAAGGTATTTTGGAAATATAACTGTTTGATGTTTGGGGCATTGATTTCATGGGACCATTCCCATCTTCCGAAGAAGATCTATACATCTTGCTTGTTATGGATTATGTATCCAAGTGGATAGAAGCAATAGCAACATCAAGGAATGACTCTAAAATCATACTCAAGTTTTTGTAGAAGAATATTTTCATTCGGTTTAGAGTACCTCGAGGTATCATTAGTGATGAAGGAACCCATTTCAATAACAAGTTGATTGCCAAGGCATTAAGGAGATATGGAGTTCGTCATAATATTACCACAGGATAATATTCTTAGATAAATGGTCAAGCTGAGATATCCAATCGTGAGATCAAGCAGATTTTAGAAAAAATGGTGAACCTAAGGTGGAATGATTGGTCACCAAAATTAGATGAAGCACTCTGAGCATATAGAACAATGTACAAAATCCTCTGGGCATGTCACCATTCAAGCTGGTGTATGGGAATACTTGCCATCTCCTGGTCAAACTCAAACATAAGGCATATTGGTCCATT